CCAACAACCCAACGCCTGCAGTAACAGCTGCGAACCTGCCAGAGACATGGCTAAGTAGTAGTCGGCCAAGTGATCTGCAGCTACGGCGTTCAGGCTGGGCGCGCGAATCCTGCTGCAAGCAAGTTCAAGCCTAGTTTTTGGTATGGGCGTTCACGGACACACAGGTCCTACAATCCTGCTTTCTTTTTTTTGCAGCTCAATCTGCTATGCAACTCCTGAAAGTACACTCATGAGCCCAGGAATGAGACTTCGTAGCGGCTGTCTGACAGAAACATCCTGATCTATCTAGTTTCATTTTCTCTTATTGCTCTGAAATATGTCACTCAGTCCCCTGTGATGTAGATTCCGACATACTTTGCATATCGGGTGATCTCCATACTCTTTCATGTAAGGTAAACGTATTTCTTTTCGTGAACCCTGCGGCCTTCTACTGTTCAGTCCTCTCCATGTAGTTCAGTCAAATTTTGATGCAACATACTCTACGTTGAGAGGTCTGTTGATTACAGCAAATACAAGTACTGATTTCAGGACGCAGCACCTCAGGCATATCCTTGTCATCTTCAATGGTCGAAGATGATCTTGTTCCCCAAATCCACATCTAGAGGCCGCTACTCATCAATATGTTATCAGCATACTGTGTTACACCGGGGAGTCGGTACTAGATGTCACTCGTGCTAAAGACTTGTAAGCTACTAAAGCACCTGGTAATAATGCATCAGCCTTGAGTGTACTTGAATATGATTTACCCAAAAGCGTGCATACCAATATGTGCCTGCATAAGTTCGGTTGGATCCTGCCTGAATCTCGTTCTTGAATGAAACGAATCTGATCAATCATGTAGGCCGAACAATGTTCACCCTCCCAATGAGCACTACCAGATAAGCACCACGTTCCTCATTTTACGAAATGGAAGTCTAAGTTGATAGGACCCTCTTTGGTTCAACATGGTAACATGATTGATGATCTGATACTCGGAAGAAAGATATGGGGGTGTGCCATGACCTGCCCTAGCTTGGAGCCGATGCCACAAGTGCAATGCCTCTTCGAAAACGGTACACGGCTTGATGTATTGAGAAATTGTTTCTTCTCTGTTGGCGCTTGATTGAAACAAAAATGTGCCCAAATGCGTTACAGCTTTCGCATTTTCAAACGATTGATGAAAGCAATCCCATCGTCATACTACATGTGAGCCATTTTGATACCAACTTGAGACAGCTTGATTTCAAGACGATATATGAATCCTCTATGTGAAAACTCTACGTGATCGTCGCAAAGGTGGCCCGGTAATTAATCAATAGCCTCAACCTCGTACAGAAAGTACCCTCATGTCTTGATAATCAGGTGTGACTCCTTTGCCCTTTGGAATATCGCCGAATCGCTTCTTTTCTTTTGGCTTCATCAGTACTATCTGGACGAAATACATTTAACATGTACTATCGCATGTGACGGTTGTTATTTGTGGACTTGGAGAAATATTTTAGAAGAATGCTCATTCGTATTTTGCGACTTGCTTCAAGGGGAAGAAAACTCGACATAGGTCAAATAAGGTGCTCGATCAAAGGGTCAAAAGAGAATCATAATACTACTCATATTTGGGCACTCAGCTTCCATTGGCATTCTATTCATTCAAGCTGATTGTCTGCAAAGTCTGGGGGCCTTAAGATCAATTAGCGCGACATACCAGGAGCTGAACCATTGCATTCGCCTATGATCAAGATATTAATTGATGGTAGTGTCTGATGATGATATTTAACAGATTAAGGTCATACCAGTTTACAATGATGCGAATATCTCCCTTCCACCAGACGAAGTTGACACGACTACGCCTTACCATACCCATAATCTCAAAGGCGCGGTCTTCACTACACCTCAGTAGCCTCTGGTCCTTCTCAACAACTCAACTATTTGATAGCGAACAGCAAATTCTTGAAGTCGAGTCTTTGAAATGGCACTCAATAATTATATTGGTTCACCATTCATTTACACTCTTCTTGAACATGCTCTTCCCCTAGAACGATAGGAGTTCCCTTCGATAATAGGTTCAAAATTCTCTCAGTTAAAGCGAAGGGAGCTCGCTCTCATACGCCATACATGCCACGAGGCCCAGCACCATGGGTCAAATTGGGGAGGTCTCCCTCCAGGCTTCGACGAGAGTTTGCGTTTATAACAATATCGGTTTCAACTCTATCTATTGCTTCTGAAGCTCCTCTGATTAAACAAGTCTCTCACTAATTAAAGCGTTGTAACGACTCTCCTTGTTTCTTTGAAAATATCTTGGGGGCGATCCATAAGTGAACGAGGGTGTTCAGAATCAAAGCATTTCTCTAATGACTCTTAGACTGTAAGCGCTTGCAGCCATAATTGTCGCAAACAGTTGTCGAAGGGTACCTTGCGCTAGTCAAGATACTGCACTCTCCCAAACGTGCAAACTCATGGAATTCAGCTTAACTTCTAGCTAAGCCAGCTGATTTCGCGCCACCTTGGCGGCTCTGACCGGTTGAATGTGTAATTGCCGCCGACAGCCGCTGTTATCGCAAAGGTTGATTTGTCGCGATGCATGCCAAGTGCTTGGCAGTGGTAGCCCAAGAGACTTTTCAGCATCTCCGCCCTTCGGGACTGGAAGGAGATGCAGACTTCCCCGCTCCAGCAGAGATATCACTCGAGGAGAACAGCGAGATTTTCTGCTTAGCGACGGATGGCGGGTGAGTTGAGGTAGCTGGGCCGCTCGGCGAGGGGCATAAAATCCTCGCGAGGCCGGCCATTGTCCTCCTGGACCTGGCTTCTCTGCACTTTGCCAAGGCTTGGTACTATAAACAATTTCAAGAAGGGCTCAGCAAGATGCGTCCTACCGCTGCCTCTATTGTGATCTCACTGGTCGGCTCCGCAGCCGCCGAGACTGTCCACGGCGTTGTTGTCTTTAGTCGTCATGGGGATCGTATGTTCAGTGCCTGCTGAATTGAACCTCGAATACAAGCTGACACTCGAATCAAAGGAACAACGAAGCATTATGGAGCTCAGTCATTGACCAGCGTCGGTGCCCAGCAGTGTTTCGAGGTTGGCAGTGCCTATCGAAGCCGCTATCTGGAGGCGGACTCTTCTGGTCGGATTCTCAACATCTCCGAGGACAAATATGTTTCCTCGCAAATCTACGCCAGTGCACCGGACCAAGGCATTCTATTGAATACGGCTACGGCATTCCTTCAAGGTCTCTATCCTCCGTTAGTAGGCCTCAATGCTCAGGTTGCTTCGTCGACCCTCAACAACGGCAGCACAAGTACAAGCCCCCTGAACGGCTACCAGTATGTTCTCCTTCATGGAGAGAACTCTAATTCGCCAGACACTATCTGGATCAAGGGGGACGATGGGTGTCCCACAAACGCCAAGGCGTACAAGGCCTTCGAAGCAAGTGAAGAGTTCCAGACCCGTGTCACGGAGACCAAGGACTTTTACGGCGGCCTATACGATGTGCTTGAGAGTGTGTACGACTACAAGCCCGAGAACATGACGTACAAGAATGCGTACGACATCTTTGACCTGGTCAATGTGGCCCGCATCCACAATAGCACATCTTTGGCTCGGAACGTGACGGATGAGGAGCTCTTCCAGCTGCGGACGTTGGCAGACAGCGCCGAGTTCGGTTACAATTTCAATGCGTCCAAGCCCGACAGCACCATTCATGCAAAGACTCTTGCGGCTGGCATCCTTGCCCAACTCAACCAAACGGTTGCTTCCAAGGGGAAACTCAAGTTCTCCCTCCTCGCAGGCAGCTACGACACTTTCATGTCCTTCTTTGGCCTGACTGATCTCATCACCATTTCGGACGATTTCTACGGTCTCCCAGACTATGCCTCGACGATGGCATTTGAGCTCGTTAGCGATAACACGACTGTGTTCCCCGCTAATGTCGATGCCGACCTTCGCGTGCGCTTCTTATTCCGCAACGGCACTTTTGGCGAGCTGACGTCGTTTCCCCTTTTCGGCACTGGAGAAGAGACTCTATCATGGCCGCGTTTCGTCGAAGAGATGCAGAAGAGAGCCATCAGCACTGTGGAGGAGTGGTGCACTGCCTGTTCCAGTCTTGTGTCCTTCTGTGCGGCTTACCAAGATGAGGAGGCCGTGAGCTCCAGGTCAGGGAGGGACGGGGGCATGTCGAATGCTGTTGCCGGTGTTATTGGTGCCATGGTAACTCTCGGCGTTATTGCTATCATTGGTGCCATTGCATTCTTCATGATGAAGAAGCGACGCGCAGCTCCTGCTTCTCAAGTCCAAGGGTCTAATACGGCTGAGAAATCCAGTCTGCGCAGTGGCGGTAGCGTTTGAACGTCTGAACCAACAAATTTTGGATCGAGGCGATGAGTATGAATGCAGCGAGAGTAATGCAGGTTTTCCCTTTCCCATGTAACTTGTTGTTCGCGAACCAAGGGTCTGCAAAAGCCTGATCGTCCGAGACTTGCCGAGGCCTTCGTACCTTTGAAGTGGATTGAAAGGATCATGCCTGTCAAGCTTTATGATAACAGCGATCATAGTGATCTTTATTGAAAACGACGGCGCTAAGGCTACCCCGACAGGGTTCATAAACTGGGCCTTATTTCAATGTAGTTGAAACCACTTGAGCAAGCCGTTCGTCAGCAGTCTTCAGGAACCCGAGTTCATCTGATCTTTGAACGGAATATCCGACGGGATGTTTTTTTCCCTAACCCGCTTTTACACAGGAGGGTTTCCTCCACAGTCACGATGCAAATTGAGAGTAGTTTGAACAGATTATGAACGTGACAAATGGTACGATCTATATCGTTAAAGATATATACTTTATGTAAAGCGGTATACAGGAAAGACTTTGTACATGAAACAGATTGGTCCTGGACCGAATCAGATTCGTGGGCGCCACAAGTGTGAACACCCACTACGAGCCGGATAGCTATCTCATCCCCTGAGCCATCTAGGTCGTCTCAACCCTCGAGACCAGATCCCATGATAAACAGTGAAATCGTGGAAATCGCTTATGCCTGGATGCGGCGGTCGTGGATGCTCATGCGCTTGGCGACAGCGGTCGCGGAGGGGGTCTCGACGGGGCAGTCCTCCTCGTCGTCAGCAGCCTGGGTGGGAGTGGGAGTGGCAACGGGGGCAGAGGACTCGGCAGGGCAGTCCTCCTCATCGTCGGAGGCAGCCTGGGTAGGGGTAGCGACGGGGGCGGCGGCGGTAGAGGTAGCGACGGGAGCCTCAGACTCAGCGGGGCAGTCCTCCTCGTCGTCAGCGGCCTGAGTAGGGGTGGCAACGGGGGCAGCGGTGGCAGTGGCGGTAGGGACCTCGGACTCGGCGGGGCAGTCCTCCTCCTCATCGGCGGCAAGAGTAGGGACGGTGGCAGCGGCGCTGACGGTGGCGGAGGCAGACTCAACGGGGCAGTCCTCCTCATCATCGGTGGCAGTCTGGCTGGGGGTAGCAGCAGAGGCAACAGAGGTGGCGGGGGCAGAGGTGGCGGCCGGGACGGAGGTAGCAGCAGCGGCAGAGGTAGCGGCAGCGGAGGTGGCAACGGGGGCAGCGGAGGAAGCAGCGCCGGAGCCGGAGCCAGAGCCGGAACCAGAGCCAGAGCAGGAGAAGACGGCAGGGCCAGGGACGGTGTACTCCTGGGCCTTGTAGGCATCGTAGGTGATACCGGCATCAGTGGCGGCGTAGGCACCGGGGAAGGCAACCAGGTCAGAGGGGCTGGTGCTGCCGGAACCGGTAACCTTGATCTGGTGGCATCCCGGGTAGAACTGGGCGCCGGGGTAGGAGTAGGAGGCGTGGAGGGCGATGATCTCGTGGCGGACGAGGTACTGGCCGGGGGCAAGGCACTCGGGGATGGTGTACTTGACGCCAGAGTTGCCGGCGGTCATGAGGGGGGTGGCACCCCAGGTGTTGGAGGTGCCCTCACGGCCACTCTCCTGAACCTTGAACCAGACCTTGTCGGTGTTGGGGGTGAAGGTGGTGCAGTCATCACCGGCGCACTTGGCCATGTAGGTGATGGTAGGGCCAATGTGAGACTCGGGCCAGAGAGTCCAGTTGAGGGTGACCTCGTCACCAGCCTTGGCCTCAGCGACGAGCTTGGCGGGGGAGGAACCCTTGACACCACCGGCGGTGTAGCCACCGCACTGGAGGTCGATGCTGGTCAGGTCCTCGACGGGGCCGTTGCCCTGGATGGGACGGGAGATACGCTCGGGGGCCGGGCTCGTGTACGGGTCCTGGTAGGGCTGGTAGAAGGTGTAGTTCGTGCCGCTGATGAGACCATCAGAGACGTAACCGTGGGCAGCCACCAGGGCTGCGGATCCAAGAAGGGAGGCGATAGCGGACTTCATTTTTGCGATTTGAGGTTATTTTTTTCGGGAGTTGTTCAAAAAAGGGGTTTGGCTTGACTGTGAGAATATCGAGGTCGGTTGGGAGGAATGAGTGTTGTTGGAGGTCAAGGACCGAAAAGAATGAATGACTACCTGGTCAAGTGAAAAGAATGACAAAAGTTGAACGAAGGAATGAGATAGACACACAAGTCAAGTGAAGCTGAACACTATGGATCGTAGGAAAGAGAGTTCAAGGCAGAGTACGGCCGGGCAGAGGCGATGATATATACGGGAAGGCATCGTAGGTTGTTTTCCCAACGCGGGCACTTGCGCCGTTGGCGTCCTTTCTCAACTCCATCGGGTCAAGATTAAGAGGACCACTTCCGCCGCTCCGCCAAAGTTTCAATTATACGCAGAACAATCATATCCGGCCAGGTGGTGGGGATAAACATGGGGAGGGGGATCTCGCGTATGCGGGAGACAGGCACAGCTGGGATCATTGGGATGTGGGTGGTGGTCTTTGGGGGTCTTGGTCCTCTTTGGATTTGATGTACTGTGAGTGGTGGGCTTCGGAATCTAGAAGATGTGGCTCAGGGGAAGAAGCCAATAGACTCTGAGCAACATCTTCCACGCTGCTGGGAGTCTGGGAAGCCTGGCACAGATGTCTGGGATAACGAGGGGCACGAGGAGCTCAAGCCTCATGGCTCAAGGTTGAAGGAGTCAAGGGGGCCAAGATATCCAAGACTTTCTGAGAGCAACAGGCGAGTGCCGACTGCGCTTACGCTGGTGTGCGTGATGCAAACATATTGGACAGGCTCAAGTTGGTGGACTGTTCCGGGCGCTAGCATAAGCGTAGATAGGTCTATCCATGCCACGATGCTGATAGTACCCATGGACCATGATGCGTTCACAACTTGCAGATGGCTCGGCCAACTGCCATGTCGTTGTCAGTTGGGGAAGAAGCAAATGTCAGTTCAGTTGACATGCGCCAAAAGGTGAGACAATGCAAGTCCCCCTCGATGGCCTCGACAAGGAGACTAGACAAGGGCTGGAGCTCAACTTGAACAACGCGAGCAAGGATTCATCCCATGTCAACCGGTGCTTGTAGATCCACTCCCGAACTTCGCTGGCCGAACCGATTGGCCATCCCGGCGTCTACCACCGGGAGCCCCCGGTCAGACCCCCGTCAGATCCCGGCGGCCACCCTGAAACAGCCAAGTCCTGAGACCCATCCCCTTTTTCTTAATTATCACCAGATTCGCCCTGCAGCCTCCGCGGCCTCAATTAACACTCTACGCGCTACTTCCCGAAAGAGGCTCAACGTCCTGGCCGTCGTGGCGGGACCTCAGGGGTTACCACGCTTCGAGCCTTCGAGCCCACGCATCATGGATAGAAATCGTTCTCTGGAAAAAACCACTTTTGCCCCCCCCCCCCCCTGCGCAACGCATGGCACAGACGTTTCCCTGGCCTAGTGGACTTCCTTGAGTTGCAGTTCCCTCCCCTTTTCCACCAATCCTCTCTGCTTCATCCCAGAAGAGAATCCTGCCCTGTCACTGCCAACGACTTTGCCGCCGCCAGCTGCTGACCTGAGCGCTTCCAGGCTGGGTATTTTGACTCCTCATTATCTCTGTTCTTGCAGCTTGCAGCTTGCAGGCTGGGCAACGGGCACACAAACATTATGATTACAGGCCTGGCCACCTTTCTAGGCCGCTCGGTAGGCTAAACCGGCCAGGCTGTTGGCTTCTATTCCTTGAATGGCCTCCCTTCTGGGCTCTTCCTGCGGGACACTGGCAGGCGGCAGGCTTGATCAAGAGATTGAACGGGGCTTCAGCGGCTCTCAAGAACCAAGGAGCCAACTGATAACTTTGTAGTCTGACCTGGTCCGCCCTGCGTCTCTTCTCTTTTCTTCTTTTTTCCCGTCAATTTTCGGACATGAGCACGGGAAGAAGACCCAACAAACGATGGACCAGGAGGGGCCATGTGGCGGCGCGCGCCCGAACTCGGGAGCAACCACCGTTCTGAGCATCTCTGCTAGGTAATCCATGCCCAATTCAAGTCCAAGTTGAAATTACGCTTGATCTCTTCCTGGCCCAGTCGTCCAGCGGACAGCGGCATTGTTGTAGAACTCCACGAGTCCAACGAAGGATTCCGTCAATGCGAGATTGATTTAAAGTAGGGAGATGCCCGCCGCCCCCTCACACAGTATAAGCAGTATGCGTGATATGCTTTTGCTAATAGACTTCCCGTGCCCACTGCCCACCTCAATATGCTTTTGACGACTTTGGCCCGAGGCTAATGACGACGTCGATGAGCAGGCCACTGTATCCATCAATGCAGAACATGAGCATTGGCGCTGCCCCCCTTGGACTCCAGTCTCCGTCATCCACCGCTTGACCACTTCCACGGATAACTCTCTTTTTGCTGATTGACGCTGCGAGAGTGAGAAGATCTGCTCGGAGCCCCGTGCCGTGATCCGTCTGCCAACCGCCCGGGTCTCACGGCTACGGCCTTGTCATCCCATCCCTATCATGTTCCCCATTTCAATCTATTCTAACCCCGGTCAGCGCGCCAGCGCTTCACCGCACATCAACCATCACGCACATCTTTTTTTTCCCTTTCTTTCTTACTCCACAGGGGGCCAGCCAGGCCGCTGGGAGCCCCGTTGTAACTCGACGTTCAAGGCCCAATGTTCCACACAGAGACCCAGCAAGGATTTCCCACCCCCTTTTCAGCCGATCGACGAGCGCGTACCTGCGTACCACACACAAACATCGCCGATCTTATGGAAATCCCTTCTTTCACTGTTCTCGCCAGCAGTGAATGACCCAGTCACCGAGTCCACTCTGCACAAAATCTCATGATCGATGCGACGCCAGGATGCCTTCGTGGAGAGTCGATCGAATCTACGAACACCAAGCTTGGCTATGTTGGTCCATCGTGGTCTTCTTTCTCGGCCGAGTTGATCACTGCCCTATGGAGTTGATTCAGACTGAGATGTTCTGGCGACGGTTTCTCCTAATAGCGACCACCTGACTCGGCCTGTCCAAGTTCACAGTCAAGGTTGTCGCTTCACTCAACATGATGCACGCGCAGAAAAGCCCCTGGCGGCGCAGCCAAAAGAAGCGCTCGCTGCTCAGCCAGGTGGCATCATTTCAAACGCGGCAGTTCATCCTTTCATCACACGCCGCCCGGTAGGCGTGCCACAGCTACGCTCAAATCCTTGAGTCAGTGAATCATTGCAAGCGATCTTATCTTTACTAAACAGGTTCAATCGCCTGTCAAAGCCTACGGGTATCGAACTAAACTAAACGAAACAGTTCCCTGGCGTGCCTGGGCATCTTACAAATCGTGAGCTCATCCATCAATCTTCTAACTCCGTCTCCTCAACCTTGGCAGGTGTAGACATTAGTGATTGTTACGCCTTCGCTGTCTCTGTCGCTCAAAGATGGCCAAGCCAGATATGACGGCCATAATTGCCCACCGTTCGCCCAGCTCACCCGTCAACCCACTGCCCATGAACGCAAACTTGGCCAGCTTGGTCATACTCATGCCAGCATCCGTCCAGACAGCAACCACTTCCTTTCCATCACCTCCCCTGAAGGCGCCTGGTCCGGCATTCTGGGGCACTGATTGAGCAAGCCTGATGAGCTTCCAGCCCCTGCTTCGGCCATCCAGCGCAGCGATCGCTTCGCCAGAGCTTGTCCTCCACTCAAAGTGCTCTAATCTTTCGCAGTTTGGTCCAACGCCTATGGCGAAAAGGTAGCTCCACGAAGGGAAGTCGCTTTTTGATTCCAGTTCGACAATGGGCCCGCCGCCTGGTGTACGTATCAACGCAGGTGGCAGCGTTATGCTCATTCTGCTGCTGAAACTATGGTACTCTACTGACGCCAGCGGCGGGAACTTGTCCGACGGCCCAGAGTGCAGCACAATGGGCGGCGAGCTGCTCAGCCCGCTGTGTATCGACATGCCATAAAACGGCTGGCTCTGATGCTCGCCGAGAAGCATGGTCCTGCTGAAACTCTGCGAGTAGACATTGAATGATGGCGGGAACTGGCGGGCTACCACCTGCGGACCCGACGACGGTCCTGCTGGGCGTGGCCCTGGCCCTGGACTCCCTCGGGACGGTGGTGGTACCGGACTCGTGCGGGGTTTTTCTTCGTACGGCGGCGGAGCTTCGTCTGCAGGGGCAATGGGAAGTGGCTTCATGTTGGAGTATTGGGAAGCGGACGACATTTTCTTGTGACGCACGGTTGAGTATGATGCACCTGTGGTATTCGCGTTCTCGCGTTCGTGATGGTTCAGTTGCAGTCTTCTTACGATCAGAAACTTCTGCTTCTTTAAGACTTTGCTCCATATTGTGTCTGCCTAGTGATCCTATTTCACAGCCACACGCGTGACAGTAATCCAGTGGCACAGCGTGACAGCTTTGCCCGGCGAAAGTGATCTGCACCACCACAGCCACAGCCGCAGGGACCGGCACAGTGTCAGCATGATTCAGAGGCTTTTGACGATCCAAATCATCCACCAAGGTATTGTCGGCTACCCCGAAGTTGAATGGTTTTCTGCTGAATCCATCTTGACGACCTCATACCAAGGCTTTTACTTCTTGAACAAACAGTGATAGCAGCCCGTTCTCAAACATAATTGACCTGCAGATAATGATTATCCATCAGCCTGTTTTTCATCGGCCGCTTATCGACGGGCTCGTAAATCTTACCTCAACTCAGTCGTTTAGTTAATATTGGGGCTACAGTGATTTGCCTTCAATCACTTCATTCTCCACGATTGAAGTCAAGTAAACTCACTGAAAGAGCATTGTTCATAGCGGTAATCTTGCTCCTCAGTCGTCTGCTTAAAACCTAGAGGTGTATGAGATCAAGTATTGGTTGTCAGTGATCTCCTACTATCATGTAGGATGTAGTTTCCAACTGGAACTATTTCATCGATAGAAGCCAGTGCTCTTGGCCCTGGTCCCGATGGAGCCTGATATCCAACCACCGAAACAGCAAAATGAATATGAATACGCCCCGTTGACGACGAGTACAGATTATAAAGTCAGTCCCCGTATTTTCCATTGCGTGCTAAGTCGGTATTAGAGTGTTCCGACAACTGATGAGGGCTAGAACGATGTGGTCAAAGTGAAGCTTGTGCTTGCCAACTCCAGATTGGCAATTCTCTGAAGTCTGACATGAGAATTACATGCACCTAGATTTTCGATTCTTAACTCTCTCGACTGCTTTTGACATCACTTTAGGCAATGATCAGCTCTAGTTCCATCCTTATTGGTGATTGTTAGCTTCAGCCGATCGAACCTCCGTCTAACCAGTTGACGCTTCTTGTCTCACTCAGACGCACATGGCCTTCACCGACTACAAGTGCCATTAAACGTGAATTTCTTCTGGATTCATATTTCCATCGCCGACGTAATGGATGCAAATGATTCCATCAGTCATGCAGTTCCCGACTGATTGCGTGGACGACCAATCGTGCGAATGGACTGACGTTGACTAAGACAACCTCGGTGCTCACCGCTGATTCTCACTGCGCTGTGTTGATGCTCTATGTCTTCTTTCGGGGTTTCAGCTCCCACGAAACGTTGGTCACCATTCAGCCAGCCTCATCCCTCATCCCCCGCACCGTGGCACGGCCCGCATTGCACTATTCCCACGTACATTCAAGACATGCAGTTGGGCTGGCCTCTATAGTGGAAAAACCGAAAACCACCCAGATGATTGGTTTCGGCTTCGTTTTCGGTAGTTACAAAGGATCTTTACGCCAAAAGAGTAGGGAAATGCCAAGTGCCGACCATCATATCATAAATGACCACCTGTTTGAGTGTGTAAACTGGATCTTGCGTAATAGATATGCGAGAGATCACACCAAAGTCAATGGAACTTGTAGATCATTGTTGAGAGGGGAGAAAAACTGATAGAGTCTTTGCTTGACAAAGGTCTATAAATATTGCCAACGATCCTCCTCTTGATTGTCCGTAGATTGGCATACCTTATTTCGGCGTTGAGAGAGACCAACACCCGGTCTTGCCTTGAGATATTGTCTCGTCTGCATGAATACTGCTGCCATTCTCGCATCAACAAAAACAGACTACCCACCATGTCCAAACTTCGCATCAGGAAAGATCTCGATACTCTCAGTCAGGATGAGCGTGACATGATCGTCAAGGCGTTTCAGTATATTATCAGCCTAAAGCCAGACCACGAGAATTCCTACTACACTATCGCTGGCTATCATGGCCTTCCCGCACCAGTCTACTGTAGGCATGGATCGGTGTTGTTCCCCACGTGGCACCGTGCCTACCTCTTGCGACTCGAGAATGCTCTTCGAAGTGCCCCAGGATGCGACGATGCTGCTCTCCCTTACTGGAACGAGCGGTCAAATGCGTCGTTGGAGAAAGGACTCCCTGATCTCTTCACCCAGAAGGACTACAAGTTCAAAGATGGGCAATCCATCCCGAACCCTCTCTTCTCCTACAAATTACAGCAAGACGTACACGATCTAGATGTTGAGGGAAAAGACAAGCCCAATGGCCACACGAAGCCCAAGGGGTATGACACTGTGCGATATCCCTATTCTGGACTCGTCAGCTCCGATTTCAATACCCAGACTTTGGACCACAATGTCGAAGTGAACGAGCTGCCAGCCGGGCAACCGACTGAACTGTTGAACGGCAACGTCACACGCTGGCTCAACCTGAAGGGCTTCAATAATCACAAAGGCGATGAGATCAAGGCGGGAATAGCAGACAACTACAAAGAATGCCTCGATGCACCCAATTACACTGTTTTTTTGAACTCGCAATCAGCGTCAGACTGAAACACAAAGAAGGTGAAGGGAGGATTTGGGTCTGTGGTGGTCTCCCTCGAGCAGCCTCACAACGCCATGCATCTGGCCATTGGGGGTTTCGACGTTCCCCACAAGCCCAATGACAATGTCGACGTTTATCCATTCGCGAACGGTGACATGGGCGAGAACGATACGGCAGCATTTGACCCGGTCTTTTTCTTCCACCACTGCTATATAGACTACATGTTCTGGAAGTGGCAGGATACTCACAACAAGTCCAAACAACTGGACATCATACCTGGCCTCAAAGGCACAGAGGGACTGAGTCTAGACACCCCTCTGGATCCATTCACCAGAGAGGATATTACGCCCGGGGATACGCGACCGATGACATCCAATGTAAGACTCCGCCCAAGTCCGTGATTGACTGTGTCTAATGAGTCCAGGATGTCACCAACACAGCTACTCTTGGGTACGATTATCCCAGACCGAGGGGTCATTTCCAACTCCCTGGACCAGACCTCAGAGAAGGACCCAAAATCACGGCGACTGGCATCAATCGCGCTCGAATACGCGGTTCCTTCGTGGTTTCGACCTGGGCCAAGGGCAAGAATGGCCTGCCAGATATGCTTTTGGATACGAAATCGGTTCTCAGTCGGTGGGATGTCGGAAGCTGCGATAATTGCCAAGACTATCTCGACATCAAATCGCACCGGAAGCTGTACGGATTTTCGGACGATGATGCGCTGGACATGGATTTCTATGCGCTGGTACATACTAGAGACAACCCTGAAGGGGTCGACACTATTGAAGGCAACAAGATCCAGGCCGAAATTTTGACAGCACAGTGAGGTATTCGGGCAGGAGCCCTATATCAAGTCGTTGAGACTCAGACTCGGCTTGGCAAAACCCAAGCAGTGGTTTGATTCACCAAACACTGAGGACTAGAGCCAGACCTTCTCGCCCATGAAGGCTTGGAGGCTTCAACAGCCTGAAAGGCAGTAAAAGTTTTGAATTGAGTTTTCTAGTCCTTAGAAATGTTGCCTCAATCGGGTTCTTCTCACGGATTTAGTCCCTATGTAGTGCCCCATTGTCCCAGCTCGATCATCATTCTCAAAACAGTTTACAAGTGAGTTGGCCCACCTTGTTCTAGGCCAACAGATATGCTTGTGAAGGTTTCCACATGCAAACTTCATTTATCATATGGTATGTCGAAGTCCCGATAACTTTGGGCATCCGAGAAGCGGAAACACCAAGACATGCCCAGCAAAACAAATCGAAGGAGAGTTACTACGCTTTGGTAAATGTCAATGAAAGTAATTTAACACGCAGCCTCATATAATGCTGTGCACCAGCTAGGCCTAATTACCTCTTGCTCCTTACACATCTTGTAAGGTAGGTAATGCATCTTACAAACAAATTTGTACACTCAATTTGAATCAAAAACTATGGTGTCGTGTAAAGGCTGACAACGAGCGATGAGCTGCCGTGGAACAAAAACTCCTCCAGTGCCGTTCCAGTGCGCCTATTCCTTCATGCCGAAAAAAAAACATTCCAACTTGCTTCCTTAGGTGCTCGATGGATGCCGGCCCAACGCGTACGTTCGTTGCTAGATGTCAAATGTGACCCTCTTTACACCTTTGAATCTCGTCAATAACTAGCACGTCGGTCATGTGGGCACCAACTTACTGGAAGCCCTCCTCCTCTTGGAAGCGTAGAAAGCATAAGTCGAATCATCCTCCCCTTCCAAATCACCATCTTTGGACTTGCCTGACGTCAAGATCTGTATAAGCCGATTAGTACCGTCGCTATCCGAAGGTGCGGTAGTGGTAGTGGTGGTGGTGCTGCACCACCACCCAAGAGTGAAACACTTACAAAGTCGAATCTGGATGCGGCAAAGACCAGAGCCATAAGCACGATGACAACCAAAAGCGAACCCCCAAGCCCATTCATGTTGGAAAACATTCTCAACATTTTGACTAGGTCCAAGCCAGAGTTTCTCTCCTGTTTGCTGTTCCTGATAAGATATCAACCCCTTGGGAACTAGTCGTCGATCGGATGGCGGGCGTAGACGGTAAGCGCTGTTGTTGTTTCACGTTCCCTTGGTGTTCAATCATCCCACGCGCGGCAATCAGCGGGATGAAGAATGTCGGGGTAAGACTTTGTGTGTAAAGTGGAAAGGAAAGAGTTCAAAAGAGGAAGAGTGTCCAGAGACTTTCCGGAAGGCAGCGTAAGGAATAAAAAGTTCCGAATGCAAACATGAATCGCGGGGTTCAAGCAAGGTCAGGCATGTCCCAGAAGGAATCTCATCGTCAGCACAGAAGAATAAGGCTCGCGAACTCCGGAGTTGGTAGATAGGTAGGTAGGTAGAGTTGGGTCTGACATGCGACCTTATAACAAGAATCTCCAACGGTCGCGGCCGGCCCTACGGTCATCCCAGCAACTCCGAACGTGTGGCGAGGACGATGGGACGTAGATCTTTTACGGCCGAGAAAGAACTCTCCGAAGTAGCTACCCCTTCTTCAACCAACGAAGGGCTGGGAAAGAGGGTTCATGTCTGCTCTATTCGTGCACTTCTGCCTCAGCTGCCCAGCTCGACACGTGGTAGTAACAGGAGAATCGGGCATCCAAGGTCCAGCAGCAGTCCAGCCAGCCTGATCTTCTGTGCCGGGGCGGCCTCTGATTGGTTAAGATTCGAGAAAGTGTGTGCTAGAAAGTTGGGGTGTCGATTAAATTCTCCAAAGATGGTCCTCCGTTTCGAGACGGCTGGAACGGGGCCACGGGGGGGAAAGAGGGTGGGTGGCTTGTGGTAGGGCGGAACCCAGACCATGAAGTGGAGGTCCGAATCAGTCGGCCGGAGGTCTGGAGAGAGAGAGGAAACGAACATGTAACCCCCATTCTGTCTCTGCCGCAAAAGGCTGAGCTGACTGCGGCCCACCCATGTCTGTGTTTGCTGTTGGTATCTTTGATTAGTCGAAGAATGCGGGGAATGGGAAAAAAAAGCAACTCGTCAGCAAGGAGACGAGGGATCGGAGCCTCAATGTGAGAGGGCGACCGAGACACCGAGACTGGTGAACTGATGAAGAGGAAGCGAGAGACAAGGAGAATAGATGCAGCGAGCAAGGCAGGGAATGGTTGTGGCGCCCAATGATTGGGCGTGTGGATGGCCTGTTGGCTGCAGCAGGGCAAAGAGCAGTGTCCAATGAGTGCTCCAAAGACAAAGCAAAAGTGCACCTCGAATTATATTGCCCAGTCGGGGGGATCTGGAATCATGATAACGAGACTCGGAGCTGAGTGGTTGGTTTGCATCGATCAGAGGAGCGCACTGAAAGGACGAGAAAGGATGGATGAGCTGAGATCGAGTTCATCTCGAAATATGTTGCCTGCCCACACCTACTTCCAGCCATCTCACTGGATGGGAAGGGGAGTGAGAGTGCAGGACAGTCAACAGTCTTGTTCATTATTAGGTATTGTAATATCATCATCATGAAGCGTCCCACCGATGCCAGCCGACCGCGAATGCGACTGTGACTGCGACTGTGACAGTTTCTGCATCGGGTGCTTTCTAAGTTCAGTCTCGCTGTATCCCAATGTTTCCTCCGCAATCTTTTTTGCGTTTCTTCCTTTCCCAGGTCCAAACCCAAAGCAAAACTCCTCATATTTGCTCGTCATCCGAAGATACGGAGAATTGAAATCCACGCCAAGAGATGCGAAACTCTTGCCCAAAGCGCCTGTGCATATATACCCATTTTTGGCCGTTTAAACTTTTGTACCGGTCGACGCCTGCTGATCCCATTGAATGAGATGAAAGTGAGAGAGAGAGAGGGTGTGTGTGTGAAAGTGAGAGTGATAGCCAGGATTCGGGGAATGAAGATCTCCAAATGTCCGACCGCCGATGCTCTCTCTCTCTCTGAACCACATTCTCACCTCTCGCCCCCCAACGAAAATAAAAAGATAGAAATAACAACTAGCAACCAACGCCGAATGCCGACCCCGCGACCGTAGGGCAGGATGGGATTCTGATTGCCTCTAAAAAGGTCCAGAAAGGTCCAAAATAGGGGGAAGAAGCGTGAAAAAAGCGAGGCGAAAAGAGGACTAAACCACCCCTTCCGAAATTCCGGAGGCGTCGACTAGCACTCGTCCGCCCGCAACGCCTGGACCTCGAGAGCCTCGTCCATTATGAGAGCCCAGGTGTCGCGGATGTAGTCGCGCATCTCCAAGAGGACCATGACCGCATACGCTGCTGTCATCAAAGCGAGACAGTAAAACGCCTGAACCAAAAAAACATCAGTCTCAATACTCTTCATGTTTTGTATAAACCCCACAGTGAGGGAGAGAGGAGAAATGATGTCAAAAATGAAAAGAGTGAGAGATGCAAACTTACCGACCATACTCCCAAATCACCCCATCGCACCAAAGCTATCTCGCCCAGCCCGTAGAGACCCTCGATGCCGGATGCACTCCCAGGGAATGTATCGCCGCCCAGCCTCGTGCTGTAAATCATCCGCAGCTCCTCGACGCCGTGCAGCGCGTCCGGGACGCTCTGGAACCCATAGTAGAGAAGACCGAGCGCTAGCGGCATTGGCAGTGCATGATACGCCCAGCACAGCGTGTCGAAAATGCCCATGACGGTGAACTTGACGAGCTCCCTCGGTGGTCTTGTGAGGTCCAAAATGCCCCTCAGGAAGAAATCGAATATGACGGCCAGCAGCGTTGTCAGAGGATGTAACGCCTGCGGTTGTGGTTTTCGTGGTTGTTGCCGGGCCGCCGTCAGCGACCGCCTTTTGGCTTGCTTAGTCTGGCTCCGGGAGGAAAGGTGCGGAGAGGCAAGGGCGGACAGCCTTGGTGCCGGGTTGTACAGGTGATGCTGGTGTTGGTGTTGGTAGTCGAGATAGTTGTGCGGCCCCGAGAGGCCGGCACTCATCATGGTCTTTTGTGTAAAGGTCTCCGTTGACATGATGAATGGCGGATGTCCCTCCCCTTTAACATGCACTTCGTGATGAAGTGCGAAGAAGGGTTGGATGGGACGAGGGGTACCAAGATGAAAGGATATAGATCCAAAAGAGAATAGGAGAACCTTGGCTCGGTTTCTTGGGAAACAATCCCGAGTGGAAACTCAATACCGGTAGCAGGCAGGTGAGGGGCCCAAGATATAAGTCGGTGAGTGATGGGTGGTGAGTGGTGGTGAGCTGCGAGCAAGCAACAGGACCCGAGCTAAGGATAGGTAGTGAGGTGTGCTCGAGCTTTATGACAAGCAGGGCAGAAAGAGCAGGGAAAGGAAAAGGCAAAGCTTCCTAGGTCCTAGGATAGTGTTTGCTTGCCTTAGCGCAGGTTGCTAGCGACGCACCGTTCACGACGACACCGTTTTTATGCAGATTGTTCCAAGGCGGCGGGGTGGGAAGAGCTCTGAGAGGTGAGATTGAGATGTGGTTGAGGTGATGGTCGCAGCGGTCGGTGTAAGTCGTCGTTTACCTGTCGAGGAAGAGAAAGATAAATGGACAAGATGGTGGTGTGCCCAAGGTAGCTTGAAGGTATGTATGTATGAATGAATGTGTATCTATGCCACCAACAACATCCAAGGTCAAGTTCCCACGTCTTTGCTTTTGGTGAGAGAAGTCGCTTTCGGTCGCCGACCGAAACCATCAGCAAAAGATGTGCAGTAACGCAAGTAAGCAAACTCGCATGAGGTACGCGCTGAGGGCTGCTTGATAAGCTGAATGTCCGAATCCGACAACGGTTGGGGAAAAAGGCAAGGGGAAGAATAAAAACAAACAATACCTTTCCTCCTTACACAGTAAAGAAGATTAAGGAAAGTTGAGAAAGCAGCAAGCGGCGGCACGTAGGGAAATAT